ATTTATAAAAGTACATCTAAAAATATATAAACAAGTTATATACATAAAGATTAATGATAAACATATATATTTTAGAAACATAAAAATTAAGCAAATAGTACGAATTTTTTTCCCATTAATGTCAACGTCAATATGAGATTTGTTTTGGTTTCAAAGACGTATATATATAATTCGCATTACTATAGGTGATTTGATTAATTCAAATAGGTGCATAAAGATAGGATATGAATTTATAGATAAAAGATAATTACAAAAATAGACACAATCCACCAAATATGTAAAATTTATGCAAACAAGATATGTGTACAAGTGGAGTTGAGTATAAATGCATTAGTAATTTTATTTTTTTTAAGCAATCATTATGCATACAATAAAATAATCATTATGGGTTTGCATACAATCTCTATGCATGAATTGACTAAATTAACTTGGAAGTTGATCACGACAATGGGAAGTAATCATTATTTATCTTAATTCTATTTGGCTTATGACAGTGGAAAAAGGAAATTCTACAAAATTGATTTCGACAAACTCGCAGCCACCAAGTAATTAATACTATCTTTTGGAGATGAATCGTATTGACAATGTGTTATAAAATAGAGGGAAAGGAGAAGGAAGTGAAGAAGTTCAACTTGTGTGTATTTTATTGAAAATTAAATTTCCATATTTATATGGAAGAAATAAGACTACGAGGGATACAATAGTAATAAAAACTAGGGAAAAATTAAATTTCCATATTTATATGGAAGAAATAAGACTACGAGGGATACAATAATAATAAAAACTAGGGCTGCACCAATATAAATGTATAGTTTACAACAAAAATGAGTTTTAATTTTTAAAAATGATGAGTTTTTAAAGAGTAAGGAACTAAGGATCAAACATGGGCTCTGTTTTTCCATTTCAACTCGCCCTTATTCAGCTTAACAGCTTGCAACTTCAAATACTAGTTGACCTTAACTTGATAAAATGACCACAATAACCTTAATCAACATGAATCTTAACTTGATAAAATGACCAAAATAACCTTAATCAACTTGAATTATCCAAATTATCCAATCATATTTATGTGTAGTTCTTAAAATGGTGGAATAAATTACTTGAATGAATTAATCTCAATCGATAGGTCTAAGAAAATTTGTACCAGCCAAGGTATGGCTAGTTGGCTGTGCTTGAAACTTTAGACGAACCATCATCAAAGAAAGTAGTACACACAAATCAGTCTCAGCTCGTGCCATCAAAGGCCAAGTCTAAACTATCGAAGTGCAAGACAAGGAAGTATGGCAAGAAACCCGAGGTCAAGAAATGAAACAAAGTTCAAACCATATTTCTTTACACTAAGCTTGTCAAACAATCACAAAATTACATTCCATACCAAAGTCAGCCTGAGCATATAACTAGTGAAGTTTCATGATGAAAGACAATTCTAAAAAATCAAGTGACAAAAACATGGATAAAATATACAAGGACCTCAAAGTTCGTCAAAAACAGCAAGGGCGACTAGTATCAACAGATTCACTATGATAAATATATTCGGCTGTAGACCAAGACAAAGACCGACATGAAGGCAGCAGCTGTAGCAATCACTTGTTAGAAAGAGGAGTTGTGGCCCATAAGGCTGCGCTGTTCTGGAAGTAATGAATAGATCACTTGCCTATTTACAGGAAATAGTTCGCCATCAATGCCACAACCATTGTGTGTTGTGTTTTCCAAGTTTAATCTTCACCGTCTTCACCTATATTTTTGTAAAAATCATCTGCTTCAAATTCAAGGAGTTCAGCATGAGGTGATGCAAAATCACAGAATAAATACCGCAATCCCAATTTGAGATCTAATTGTAAATCAGTTTGTTCCTGTGTACTTTACTGGATTTCTACTCAATATGTCAGTCGGCTAGGATATGACCTTCTAATATACCTAAATTGGAAATTTCAATTCATCAAGAATAAATTTCTTCACAGCCAGAGGTTAAGTTTAGCATAGCAGGTGGTAGTCCCAGTCCGCAAATCATATATTATCCTTTTGGGAAAAATTCCACAACCGAAAGGTTTCGGCAATAGAATGTTTCAGCACTCCTTAAGATCGACTTAATGGATTTATCTTCACATCTACAGGTGAATTAAGCAAATAGTGCGTTGTTTTTCCTTTACTTTTCAATTTTTATTTTCTTTATTTCATTTTTTAAGCGCAACCATTTCTTCTGCCATGGCTTGAGTACATCTAGCATTTGCTAAAGCTTCATGCATTTTACTAGGAATAGAAACAGATGATAACTATAGCACATAAGATGCCCATGTTTTGGACAGTCTATGCGAATTCACGTAACCAATAATGGGATATCTTATTTAACTTTTAGGGTCACGCTCATATTTAGCAGGTGGTATACCATGATTAGAACATGGTGGGAGATGATAATGAGACAAAAGAGATTCAGTATTATCAATATCAATAAGAGGTTCAGTATTATCAGTGTCAACAAGATGTTTAGTATTATTTTCATCGACTATAGAATCAAGCTCAAGCATAATTGTAGAATCAGGACTAGAAAGTACCTCAGAAGAAAACTGTCCTAGTGGTTGCACGGAATTTAGACAAGACAATGTACTATCATGGAGAAGACTGTCACTATCAGCAGTAGGAAAAAATGCCTGCAATTCTTCATTGATTAATCCATTCTCCTCGATTTTTCCCCTGAAAAGAAGAATCAATAGACGATGGTTGGTAGAAAATTTTTTCCTAGTGAAAGCTAACATCCATGGAAATATCGATCTTTTAAAGGGCAAGGTCCTAACATTTGTAATCCTTTTGATGGATCTCATATCCCAAAAAGACGTATTTCAAAACACGTGGTTCAGACTTGGTGCGTTGATGGGAATGCAAATGAACAAAAACTACACACCCAAAAATTCTAGGAGCGAAAAGTAACACTGGTGGAAGAGTGCAATGGTCAAATGAGACTCTAATGGTCTTCTAAAGTTAAGAATACTAGATGGTGTACAACTTACAAATAGATCGCTAAATTCAATTCCTCATCCCACAAATAAGAAGGCACATGTCCCCAGACAAAAAGAGATTAATAACTTCCAATAAATGCCAATTTTTTCATTACATAACACCATTTTGTTGGGGAGAATAAAGACATCATATTTGATGAATAATACCTACCGAACACATGAATTTTACCAACTCATGCTTGAAGTACTCTTCTCCATTATCAAAACGGAAAACTTTTGTAGGAATACCAAATTGGATGGTTATCATTTGATAAAAAGATCGAAAAACGGTACTCACGTCACTCTTATGTTTCAAATGGTAAACCCAATTCATTCGAATGCAATCATCCACAAAAGTCACAAACCACCTCATCCCATTTAGAGTAGGAATCGGTGCTAGTCTCCAAACATCTGAGTGAACTAGTGAGAAAGGAAATTTTGATTTATTATCACTCAAACAAAAAGTTGTATGATGGGCTTTTGTCATTACACAAGTTTCGCAAACAAAATCTGAAAAATTATATTCATGAAATAGAAAGGGGAATAATATCCTAATATAATAAAATGAAGGATGTCCTAGACGCCTATGCCATAGACAGATTTTCTCATCATTCTTACTCATTAAATCTTCCTTTACCAATTGAGCTTGCCTTTATATGTTGGACTGTTGAAAACCATTCTCCAGACAGTACAATCATCCACTTTCTTAACCACTGTCAATCCTCTCCTTGGTATGGATGTCCTGAAGTACACGATAAGTAGGGAAGAAAATTGCAACACAATCATAAGATTTGGTTAATTGAGAAATAGAGAGAATGTTGCAATTTAATGACAGTACAAGGCATCTTTGATGGTTAAAATTAGGAGATAATGGAATCGTACCAACACCAATGGTTGGAGATGAAACCCCATTGGCATTGGTAATGGTAGTTTTGGGATATTTAGAGAGTAAATGGCTAAACGTATCATGGTCACAAGTCATGTGATTCATTGCACCAGAGTCAATTATACAATCCCCATTTTCAGTAAAACGTGTATAAACTTTGTTTAGGAATTATTTCAAGAGTTGAAATTATGATCCTATCAACTTTGAAATGTTTGGCATCTATGGTAATTAGGTGTTAGAGGAGGAGCCACCAACTTTGGTAGATGATGAGTTGGAAGTATTTCGCCATGAATTGGATGCATGTTACAAAATGACAAAAATGACTGTAATTGTTCTATTAATGCTATTGGTTCTTCTTCATATTAAAGTATATATGATGTAACCCTGAATTTTAAAACTCTTTTCCAAATGAATTACATTTTGATGATCTTGATCTAGATTGTTATGAAAATGTTGGCAATGGCAATGAAAATAGAGGTGATACAAACATTGGAAACGAGGATTTTAGTATGACCAAGACTCCATCATTTATACAAGGCTAAGGAATTGAAAAACTTATATCCGAACCCCAGCATGGATGAACTCCAGAATATCTTAATTAAGAAAATATTGATTTATCTCAAATAATTTAATTTATTCACATGTTCTTTATCCACAATTGACCTTTAAATGATGGTTTTAATTTTTCAAGCATATTCTTATAACATATGAAGCTATCTTGTTGATTTTTGTTAGATAAATTTTTTTTTTCTCATTGATTGTTATTTTTATAGTTTTAAATGCATATTTGACTACGTATGATTTAGAATTTCTGTTATTTGGGATATATATTGATCTTTAGTTAACAAAATAATAGGGGGTTAATTTAGTTATTGGTAGAAAATGGTAAAATTTTATTGTTCAATGAAAATATTTAATAATATATTTGATAGGAATTAACCCGCCAATTGAACCACCGGATCACCAGTTGAACCACTAACCCATTGACCCGCTACATTTTCTAGGTCAATGTCTGGACCGAGTCTGACAACTATGTTCTAAACTAAACTAAGAAAACTCTGTATTACACTATATGGAAAAAATAAAAAATAAAAAAATTGGAAGCTGAATAAATTCCCAGATTTTTCACTTTATTCAATATACTCATTTTGTCCATTTATAAATTGAACCATTTATTAACAAAAATTCTCAAACAAACGCTTAGTTAAAAGTTTTCATCCCTCACTCTGTAATTATGACATATGTTAACCAGGCATATCTTGGAATCAAGACAAATTAACTATAATCATAATATATACGTATAAACATATGGTCTACAAAATTCGTAAATCCTCTTGGCTTCCTAGAACATCCAAGTCCAACTCAGAAGAATAAAAAGACGAAAAAATTTCAGCAAATTGCTGTTCCGTCTGAGAGCTGAATATGTTGTCATTGCCAATAGCCTCCAAAAAGGTCGAATCTGAGCTCGTGGGCGACTCGCCTTGAGCACAGACATCATCATTCACAGACTTGGGCAGTAAATTTCCATCAGATTCATTAACCTCATGAAAACCAGTACAAACATTGGAATCCATAAACTGGGACACATTGGAGTGTCTACCGGTGAGTTCTTGAACAAGGGAACGGAATCTTGTCGCGCTAGTCTTCACCTTCATAGGGCTAGAGATATACACAACTTTGAGTGAATTGTTAATATTCCTCTTGCTTTTAGTCTTCTTCTTATCGCTGCTCATCACTCTTGGAACACTTTGTATTACATCCATTTCTAAAGGGCAATCAAGAAAAAAGAAAATTCAACTTGAAGTTTTAGGATTTTGTCGAATATTTATCAGTTTTATATAGATGTGGAAGTGTGATATCTTAAGGTACAAGGGTTTTTTCTCGGAAGGAGATGGGATTGAATTTATGGAGAAAACATGGAAGATTTGATGGGAAATAGGAAGGTCAGAGGAAATGAAGAGAAGTAGAAGCTTCATATCACTTGGGTGACCCGCAATGAAAGATTGTACCGTAAAGAAAATAGCCGTATAGGTCTCCAAACTTTGACGCATGTTGCACATTGTTTTTCCAATGTTCAAAATGGAACATTTACGTGCGCAATCTTTAATTTGGTAGCAATGGACAATTTTATATGCTAGTCCGTTAAAAATATGATGTTACCCTTCTCAATCTTTAAACAAACAAGCATTTGAATAAAAGCAAGAAATACACAACTTTGAGTGAATTGTTAATATTCCTCTTGCTTTTAGTCTTCTTCTTATCGCTGCTCATCACTCTTGGAACACTTTGTATTACATCCATTTCTAAAGGGCAATCAAGAAAAAAGAAAATTCAACTTGAAGTTTTAGGATTTTGTCGAATATTTATCAGTTTTATATAGATGTGGAAGTGTGATATCTTAAGGTACAAGGGTTTTTTCTCGGAAGGAGATGGGATTGAATTTATGGAGAAAACATGGAAGATTTGATGGGAAATAGGAAGGTCAGAGGAAATGAAGAGAAGTAGAAGCTTCATATCACTTGGGTGACCCGCAATGAAAGATTGTACCGTAAAGAAAATAGCCGTATAGGTCTCCAAACTTTGACGCATGTTGCACATTGTTTTTCCAATGTTCAAAATGGAACATTTACGTGCGCAATCTTTAATTTGGTAGCAATGGACAATTTTATATGCTAGTCCGTTAAAAATATGATGTTACCCTTCTCAATCTTTAAACAAACAAGCATTTGAATAAAAGCAAGAATGGTAAAAAGGAAATTATTTGGGCTTAAAGAGGAAATAAGTTCTCAATTATCTTTACTTTTCTTCTCTTTCCATTCTTTTTTTTGTTTATCCAAAATAAGGGTAAAATTAGGGGTGAACACAATGACCAAACCAAACAAATCAAACTAGAATCGAACCAAACCAAACAATTTGGATTGGTTCTACAAAACAAAAAAACAAAAAAAACAAAAACCATTAATGATTTTTGTTTTTAGAACCAAGAACCATTCGGTTATGGTTTGGTTTCAATTCTAGTTCAAGAACCAGAACCAAAAATCATACTCGATTTTTATTAATTTTGAATATATATTTACAAATGAGTGAATCACACCAAATAATCCAACTTTTGTTAGTGATTCAATCGTCTATATTAGTGAATTATTTTTATTAGTCATATTTTATATGGGGATGGAACTTGAGGTTTATGTATTCAAATCATGACTATGTTTTATTTGTTAATATGGACTTTTGTGAATGAATTTTATTATACAATATTTCATTCGATGATTGATAATTTGAAGTTGAATTTGCCAAAAAGCTTGATGTTTATTTTTTTGATTTAGTCATGTGTTTCCAGCTTATGGATGTAGTGGTAGATTTTAATTTGCATTTATCATTTGAAAATTTAGATAATAAAATCTTAACAAACCGAATCAAACCAAAATTGAATGGTTCAGTTCGATTTGGTTCGGTTTCATATGTCAGGAAAATCATTAATTCCATTATCAAAAAAAATATTGATTCATGGTTTGGTTCGATTGTCGTGGAACTAAAACCAAATGAAATCATGTACACCCCTAGGTAAAATTATCCATTAAAGACCAAGGTGCTACTAACAATGAAAAATTGGACATCAATGCTACATTTTGTAAAGTGGGGAGCAAGGTGCAATACAAATCAAATTAAATTTGGGGACCTCTTCTGCTATTTTCCTTTAGATTTTCAATTATGAACTTTGATAGAATATGTCAATAAGCATCTTTATTATTCACACGTGCGCAGTCACTGATGACTTGTCCAAGAAAAACTTATTGAAGATATTTGGTTATATATAATTGCTTGTGTGGTTGGATTAGGTACTGGAAATACCGTACGGTTGAGTTGTGGCGGCTGGCTGGCTTAGCAGTCACGGGAACTTTTATAACCTCTTCAGGGGTAGTTGCAGCAGTAGTTTCAACCCTTTGAATTTTTAGCGAATTCTATCATAACCATCAATTTGTGTTAATGGATGTTCTAAACCTTTAAATAATTAGCAGCTATAGTTTAAATGGATGAAAATAGTTAATTTGATCGTTAGTTGATCACGAAAATTGGACTTTGACCAATTTTGACCAAATTAAAAGGGATAAAATGGTAATTTTAGAGTTAACATTTTTTCCAAATTTTATTAACAATAAACAATTAAACTAATAAAAATAAAAAATCTGCCCCACTCCCAGCCCCAATCTTCGTCCCCCACCTTCCCAACTCCTATCCCATATTACCCATCAATCAATATATGATGCTAATAAGGATAGGAGGGTGGATTATAAGTGCGAAAGAGCTTTTGGATGTTTATGATGCTAATAAGGATAGGAGGGTGGATTATCAAGAGTTCAAGAAGTATATGGATGATAAGGAGCTCGAGTTGTACAAGATTTTCCTGTAACTTTGGGATTCGATTTAGAGGAGCTGATGATCGAGTTTAGAATGAATAGAAGTGAAAGATAATGGTTCAATTTAGTGGAAGTGGTTTTGGTTTTTGGGCGGCCGTGCTTGTAGGTTTGGTGGTGGCGGTCGGCGATCGTCGGCTTTCGATTGTGGTTTGGTTGGATGCTGAGGGAGGGAGAGAGTGGGGGTGGGATAAATTTCATTTTTTTGTTTTTAAGTTTAATTTTTAATAATATTTGAAAAAACAATGTTAATTCTAAAGTTATCATTTTACCCCTTTCAATTTGATCAAAATTGGTCAAAGTCCAAATTTTCCTTGTCAACTAATGGTCAAATTGTCTATTTTCATCCATTTGGACTCCAATTGCTATTTTTTCAAAGGTTAAGGACCACCGCTGACATAAAATGAAAGTTAATGTAAAGTCCGCTAAAAACCCGAAGGTTTGGAATCGTTGTTGCAATTATTCCACTTATTTATATGCCTTCAATTCATTTTTTGTTTATACATTTTAAAAAGATTTATTAGTACTAATTACTTATTCATCACTCATTTCTAATTTAAATTTATATCATACAATAAATTAATTTTGGTAGAACTAAAACATAGAGTAAACTTCTAATAACCTATGCACTATGACTTAAGCTATTTTTTTTTTCCTTACGATATTCTGAATTCTGATCTATTTTGGATTAGTCGACTAAAAATATTGCGAATTGGCTATTGATTCAATTATATATTAAATTTGGGTGAAATTCAAGTGATCGTTTCAATTGAGAATCAAATGGACTTGTCAAGGGCTCATCGATATTTTATTGTTAGTTTCAATTTATAGTCACCATGAATTGCATCTATAAATGGTCTCATGTGAAATTTTCTTTTCTAAGCATCAATTGTAGTGTGTTGGGGGTATTATTTATGAGTAATGTTGTTTAGTTTCACTAAAATTGTAACTCCAGTCTAGGTGTTACTAACGTGGCATTAAAAGATATGTGAAATTAATTGATTCAATTAATTACACATTTCATTTAACGTATCATCAAGCGTCATCTAAACTGGGGTTGCAATCCTAATGAAATTATGTAGCATTACTCATTACATATTGTAATTAAGTGAAATTCTGATTTCTTAATTAAATTATAAAATGAGAAGGATAGATACAAAAGTTGTCTCAGCGAATATAATAAAGTTCTAATACTAAGCCATTGTTAAAAAATTTATAAAGAACCTCAAGGAGCTGATGCACATATTATAAAGTTGCTAGGTTTTCATATTGCACAATGTTTAGGAATAATGTTCCTCGTGACCATCCAAATTCCTCGTTTACTAGCCAGGTCGCATATGTAGTTCGAATTCACAATGATAAAATTGCAAGATAGAAATGTTGACCAGCTAGTTGAAATGTGTCACACCCACAAAATCTTAAATGTAATGGATAAGATGATTAAACAAATGATTATATTATTATTAATTTTTATTGTACATATAGTCCCTATTCGATAGAGATTAAATTCTTATTTAAATTTAATATTAAAGTCAAAAATTAATTTTAATCACATATTTTTTAGGACCCACAACTTTTTAATTACGCATTTCATCAATTTTTATTAAAATTTACTAAAAATATATGTTTTGCAACAAATACATCAAAGTTTACATCCTGATGTGCATAATGTCCAAGTACTATTTCATTATTAACTGGTGATAATTGTGTACATAATGTACACAGGGTGTAAACCCTGATATACAAGTAGATTAGTTCTAGTTTGACTAGGAAAAATAAGAATTAATTGTGTTCCTATTTGGGCTCCATTTATTCAAAATACATTTTTTTTAAAACTCATATGCAATAACACATTATTTGATAAAATATTATTACTCCTAACTCAGATTTTTTTTTTTTTTTTTAACCTCACATTCTTTCAAAAATTATTATTCAAAAATACATTTTTTTCCAAACTCTTATTAAAATGGAGCCCAAAGTATTTCATATACGTATCTCGATACCTTAAACTTATGCAGTGTTAATTAAATTCCATATACTTGTATCAAAATTGTATTATTATCAAAGTTTATTTATTTATAATTAATCTAAGTTAAGTACATCATCATTTCAACCGTAAACTTTTATTTTCTATTTTACTGTGCTCCCTTCCTTTATATTGAAACCAATTTATATTGACCCACATTACTATCACTCAAATGAAACTCAAAGATTCCAACTTCCAAAACTTCAGGAAAATGCAGTAGCGTAATAACTAATAAGTGATTTAGAGTTTGTTTTGAAAGGATTAAAATCAGATTTTAATCTAAATCAAAGTCAAACAATCAATATTAATAACATATTTTTTGGGATCCAAAACTTTTTAACTATGCATTCCATCAATTTTTATTAAAATTTATTAAAATTTTAATTTTAATTTCCACCAAGCAGAACATAGTTAAAGGTTTTGCAACGAATACATCAAAGTTTACATCCTGATGTGCATAATGTCCAAGTACTATTTCATTATTAACTGGTGATAATTGTGTACATAATGTACACAGGGTGTAAACCCTGATATACAAGTAGATTAGTTCTAGTTTGACTAGGAAAAATAAGAATTAATTGTGTTCCTATTTGGGCTCCATTTATTCAAAATACATTTTTTTTAAAACTCATATGCAATAACACATTATTCGATAAAATATTATTACTCCTAACTCAGATTTTTTTTTTTTTTTTTAACCTCACATTCTTTCAAAAATTATTATTCAAAAATACATTTTTTTCCAAACTCTTATTAAAATGGAGCCCAAAGTATTTCATATACGTATCTCGATACCTTAAACTTATGCAGTGTTAATTAAATTCCATATACTTGTATCAAAATTGTATTATTATCAAAGTTTATTTATTTATAATTAATCTAAATTAAAATTAATTTAATTGAAATCAAATTACTGTTAAAGAATGTATTTTGATGGAAAATGAGGCTCAAACAACGGCCAAGTAATTCATCATCTCAACTGTATACTTTTATTTTCTATTTTACTGTGCTCCCTTCCCTTATATTGAAACCAATTTATATAATTATACTGACCCACATCA